ATTGTCAGCCTGATACCCAATGTATTTTTAAAAAAGCATCACAATGCTATACAATAATTACATTTAACAAAGAAACGTCAGGGTGACCTTCCGGTGTGCTGCTGTAGACATGTTCATGGCACTGACTAGAGAGCAATGGCAACTATCATAAGGATGAGAATGTAGGTCCTGGTGTTTTTTAGTTTAGTTAGTTTTTTCACCAAATTAGCTCTGGTCCTTGAACCAATTCCATTCAAGATTCTTGGGACCATGGTGCTATCTAGTCAGTATTGAGCTGAATCATTGTAGGATATAAGGACGGATGGATGTGTCATCATCAAGACAAGATGAACTCTGCACAACAACTTGTAGAATATATGTACAATATGAATACCTACTTTGGTGCGATATTGGTTCTATGTGGCGCTCAGGCCCGCCAGTTCATAGAAATAAAAAAGAATCTTCATGATCTTAGCAGTATGTGTTCTGTCTGTTTTTTGTTACTGTTTTTGAACTAATGTGAGTGGGCAAACATTGTATCCTAAATTTTATAAATTGAAATACAAGTCTTGATCCTGTTGGCTTGAAGGGAATAACGAAAGGTTACTCTATGGCTGTAACAGGGTTGGATTCATGCAGTTGATTGTGTCTAATCCTACTGCAGACTTCCTTTAACGTCTGGAATAAAACAGCAGTATGCTTGAATCTCCTCAAGATATTAAGCTCCTCTTCAACACATCAATCTTTTTCATGACATTGCCATGATTTTAGAAGGTCAGCAGGATACTTTACCAAAAAAGTGGAGTAAATTCTGAACTAGGGTTAGGATTAGATGTGAATGTGTAGAAATCTCCACCAGTCTTGTGTCACTAATCCAGCAGTCTAGAAGCTTCCAGAGTCAGGCTGATCCCAAGATGGAGCTCTCCAGATTGCCTTAGGCCGAATTCTTCATACTGGACTGAACCTGTCACGACTCATCTAGCTGTCATGTTCAGCTATAAGTAGAGCACCATGGCTGGTGTGGGTGTCATCTATGAAACAGCTGCCTCAGAGCATGATAGAGATTTGCTAGAACTTGATTGAAAAACATTTAAAGAAAACATCTGCACAGGTATTATGTATATGTGGTCATTGGATGATAGTTAGAACTGACCTGAGACATAGAGGCCTGAGTAAGTTATAGGATTTATTTGGTCATTTTGGGACAATGGAACAAGCTGTCAACACTGAACTGACATATTATCACTATATAAAGTTGATATGGTAACACATTTAGCAGACATGCAGCGATATTTGCCTTCATTTAGAACTAGAATCCAATATTATCCAATATTCACTCTATTTTAGCTCTGGTTTGGCCTCAACCAGAAAAAATACTTTAGCAGGAAAATGCTCCTCTATGTTCACCAGCTAGTTTCAGATTTTACTTAACTCTACTCTACTACTAACCGAATAAAGCGGGAAACTGCCCTGAGCCCAGGTCCCTAAGGGGCCTGAAACCCACAGCTTTACTGTGTATCAGTTGGTTGTAATTTGAGTAAATGCTAGTTTGTTTAGAAATGTATGCCAGTGGTGCCCCCAGAAATATTTCACAGCCAGAGGGTAGCCAGATCAGTGATGGTCAGTGAGTCTAGAGGTGTGAGTGTGATGGAAAGGCAAACGTGACCGTCTATGCATTTGCTATTTACTTTCACATTAACTATTATGAAAAATACACTGAATACGCCACTAAAGAACATCTTTAACAAGGAAAGTTGCCTGGCCCTGTGTCACATGGTGCATGTTAAAAGTTGTGTTTAATCAAATTATCTCAAACTAAAAACCTGGGACCCGGTAGTGGTGGTTATTTACAGGGTATCAGAACTATGTATTTTTTGACCAGCCAACCAGAAAAATTCTATTTTTGGTCTACAGTACAGCAAACTTTACCCCTTTATTCTCTGTCTCCTCTGTCATTGAGTCTCTCTCAACACACAAAAGCATGTGCCTGCTCTGCCTTTTGTAGGCCTAATTTTAATGTTCAGGTCACTATGACTGTGTCTATGACTAAGCATTTACACTTGATGCCTGGATCCAGTCCATGACCGCTGTCCAGAGTGCTAACAGTCATCAGCACTGGCAGAAGAATGCACGTGCTGAGCGTCAACTCTCTGGCAGTCCTTCCAATCAAGATGTGTTTTTATTGCATCTTAGTTTGTGTGTCGACAGAATGAATCCTTGGCATGCTGGTCAGTATCTGTCGAGTACATCAATTCAGAAAAATCCTAACCCTAATTCCTTTTGGTGTTTGTTATCCATTCGAACAAGGACATTTTCAGTGCTACTTCTAATTCTCTGCGTTAAGGAAATTCCCCATGTCTAAACCTAACAGACAAACACCAGACAATCAGAGGAAAAGCAGGGTAGGTCTTTACGGAATGCCGTTGGGGAAAAAATGCATTACATGGGTGTTTAGGGGTGCATAAGCTACCTAGATTTACCCAGAAGTTGTGGTATGCAATAGGAGACACCTGGCTAACTGCTGTGTGAAGTGGGCATGGCTGTCCGTCTGTTTTGAAAAGTTATAAAAAAGCTGCCTCCACAGTTCTACCATCAGAAATGGGATCAGATGCTGTTAGACAATCCAACAAGCACTTTATCTGGGCCTTAAGGGGATACATCCTTCTGATTTCAATGACCTCATGGCCTTTTTTCCAGAACAATCTTCAGGACAAATTGTACACTTTATATATACTGGTGAGAACAGCAAAATTGTTTGCTCCGTCCAGCTCTTTCATATTGACCGTTGCATCTTCTAGGACCCTCTAGCAGGTCTTTCAACATCTTGTTTATGTGATTCTTTATAGGTCTTTCAACATCTTGTTTATGTGATTCTTTATAAATGAAGCAAAGCTTATGAACCTGATTGTATTATATGTCAAAGACACAAGGCCCTGAAGCTGGCTGGTTTTCTAAATACGTGAGCACCTGACCTTTTGCAGATAAATTGTTTTGATCTGATAGCCGTATATTATTCTTTCCCTGCAGCCACTCCCTGACATATGTAAGCATCAGATCTTGGAGCATCTTTACTGACACCAAAACCGTGCTAGCAGGGGATAGCTTCACACCCAAAGGTATTTCCCTCTGTGTTTTTGAACAGTTACTACAGTTCCTTTTTTGTTTGTGAAGGTTGCTGCCATCAGGGAGTATTACTTGAGACATTTTCGACCTTTCCGGTCTTGGGGCCTCTACAGTTAATCTCCTGCTGTTTTTGTTCTTTCTCAAATGCTGTGTTTCCACTGTATGGTAGGACTTGACTCGCTTTTGATACTAAGTACTTTTCTCTACTTAATTTTCCACTACAGATAGAAGCAGATATTCTGAGCTGATCATCATAGCGCCACCACGTCAAACTGCCATAATCTTGAAACAAACAATGCAATGACCATCTTCACTTTTTCAGCAGTTGGGAAACAACTTGGCCGTGATATATATATATATATATATATACACTGAACAGTTGTTCAATGTCTTTTAACTGAGGTCAATGGGAAGTGTCTTGTCTTAATCATACGTTCTTTCTAATTCCCAGCAGGGGGCAGCTCCATTGGCTGCACAAAGAAGCCAATAGTATAGTAGATTTGAGCCAAGCTGTACCATGCTGTGTGTTCACACAATTCAGGTTTTAATTTTGGAAATAGCAATTGCCCTTTGTTCCAGTTGTGATTGTTGTCCTTTGGCTCTCATGTAATGAAGCAGTGCCAGTTTGAAAGAACAGTGGACTCCTAACTCTTTGTCAGTACCAAAACAACACATTATGCTTTTCTAACAAAAAATATTTGACTTATTTATTTATTCATCAAATAATTCTATTTTTTCCAAAGAGAAAACCTTTTTAAATGTTTAAACATTTTATTCCTAGCACTTCTGTTGGTCAGATTCTGTTGCACTTACCGCCTAACTCTAACCGCATCCAAGAGTGATGTCACAGTTTACTGACTCAAACTAGACTAAATGTCTACATCACTGTAACAAATGAGAAGTTAAACCACTGGAGATCAGTCAACAGGCAACATTTTACACAGTAAGCACAAAATGTGTCTCACAGGCTCATCAGGCTCACTGAATACTTAAGTTGACATAGATTTTCAGAGATAAAGTGAGGACTACATTTATTGGTGTTAGAAAAAAAAAATATAGTATCGCAATATTTTGTTTTGTGATATTGAATCACTGTATTGATTTTTGTGTTTAAACCTCCAACAACAAGATAGTAGTATTGTAAACAGTAACTGAAGGCTATGAATTTGGATGTTACAGGGACTGTGATATATTTAAATGTAGATCCCATTGTTCTGATTGCATAAAAAAGTAACAGTACAGATTTTATGCATATGGTGGTGTGTTCCTTATACTTCTTGATACATACACACTTTTCCTTAAATTTGTTTTTTTTAAACAACCTATTGCCTTTCTTACAGCATTGCAATATAACCCCTGTATGTGATGCATATCGTATTGCCAAATTCTTGCCAATACACAGCGCTAGCTATGTTCATGCAGCTGAGTTGTGCTGAATGTACTTGGCTGTGGCAGCCACTGGAAGACCTAACGCAAGCTTCTTGACCATTATACTTTATGGCTGTCAGATGTGGCTCCGTTTTGTGAATGCAGAATTTGTTCCAGAATGAGTTGGGCCAAATTTTAGCCTGTAAATCTGGCAAATTCTAGTAGCTGAGTGCACCAGATTTTGGCCAGTGTTGCTCAAAGAATTCCTTACCTACTACATTTATATAACCAATAGTGGGAATTGTTTTGAAATAACATAATCAAGAACTGCTTTTCTCTTCATGAATGTTTCTCAGCGTCTGTCTGGGAATTTTTAAGTGGTTGTTTCTTTAAATCACTAAAGTTAGTGTTTTGCCAAGCTTATTCCCTTCTTCTTCTCTTTTAATTTCACTGACTGGAAGAAATCCCGGTTTTTATGCAACTTGCAGGGTTGGTATTCATCGCGCGCAGTCGTACGCACTAATTGCCAGGAATTGATCGCCTTCCCACTGGCGGACCCCTCCGCCTCAGTATTTATCCATCAGTGAGTCGTGCTACAGTAGGGCGCTGCTCTCTGTACAGTTTGCTCTCAGGTTAGTGTCTGGGTGAGCTCTGGGGACTCCCTGCTGGAGGAGCTGACAGAATGGACGGACAGTAACCGCGCTCGTTTCTCTGGGTTACCGCTCTTATTTTCTGCCGTTCATCTCCACTGCGCGCAGCCACTGTCCAGTCTCTATTGGCAACCCCGGAGACACCTGTCGCGCTTCAGGTAGGCAGCGTCTACATCGTTCGATAAATTACACTTAATTGGAAGCATTGTGCAAAAGAAAATCTGTGGAGAAAGCTTGTTGTTCTACCAGTGTCTTGGAAGGGGAGTTGGGCTGCATGAACTGAACTATACAGTGTGAGAAGATTAAAGCGGTGTAATGTCTGTCTTTATGGAGTCATATTTGTATGGGTTCCGTTTAATTGCAACAGCTGTAAGGCGCTTTGTGCCGCTCCACCGTGTAATTGCGCGCTCTGAACGCGTTTCCCGTCTTGTTCACAGGCTTCAGCAATGAGAGGACGATGGAGCTCACATTCCATGTCCGTGTTGGTCTTTTTGATCGTACTGTGGCAGATGGGGTAAGTTTCATGGCAGTGATATGTGTTTTTATTTATTAACAGAAAAAAAAAAATACTATCACAGGGACGGCGCGCACAGGCAGCGGCTCTCTGGTTTTCCATTAAAGGCTATTTAACGGAAGGTTTTTTAAGCAGCAGTAGTACTACAAGTACACTACTACCAACGTTAATGAGGCGCGGTAATGTAAGGATTTATAATAACACGCTAAAGGCTGCTCTGTGCGCTCAGTTCGTCCCCACGTAGAAAGCGCCACACCAGACCTAGTTGAAAAATCGAACGATTTAAGCATTATTTGCAAATCAGAAAAAATATCACGCGTAGCACATGCTCACATAGAGTCCACTGAAGTTGTTATGCCGTTCTAGTAATTTCGGCAATTTAATAGTAGAAAAAGCATCTTTCTTTTTTTTCTTTCTTTTTTTTAAATCTGAACTTTAGGAACTGGCACTCAGTGTTCTTACCACCCATCGCGGTGCACTGTGACTGAAAAGATAGTGAGAGTAACCATCGAGCCGTTTCTAAAAGTTAAAATCCTAATCTATTCTAATCCTAGCATCAAATTGCAGCCCCATTATTCTGTATAGCATTAAATTAGATTTTTACACCGCCTGTCTTGTGTTCCACATGAACAGAGCATGTAATCTTAATGTGATAAGGTTTAAATGAAATCTATCCAGTTTATCAACCATCAAACAGAAAACATGCCTATAACGTGCTGTAGAAATGCATTGCCCTGGTTATTTATTATTCTAAAAAAAATAAGAAAAAAGGAAATTCACATTGAGACTTGTGATTAAAAAAACAAGAGGAGCAGGGAATTTTCCCCTTTGACAATTCTCTTCCTCGGTGCATCACAAGCCATTGTTTTTTATATTACATTAAGCAATACATTGCTGTGGCAGATTCTTGTTTATGAGTAATCATTAGTGTTATTTCTCACTTTAAGCTATAAATGGTTAAAGTGGAATATGTGTAAATGGCTACTGTACTCTTGAAGTGCGTCTTTCACTAACAATGACCAATGAGGATATGGAATAAGAATGGTTTATTGCACATAATGGATAAAGGTGAACTAATAGAATAAACTGTAGAAGCGATGAAGGGATGAGGGTCGAGGCATGGAGGATGAGGGATATAGGGTTAAGGGATGGTGGTGGAGGGATGAAGGGGTATGGAAGGGAAGGGTGAGGGATGAATGGATGGGGGAGAAATCAGGTTTGTGGACAGAAGGATGGATGGAGGAGTTCGGGCGGGATGGGAGGGAACCATGTTGGCGTTGAGACTGAGTGTGGGAGCCGTCTCAGTGGTTCCTATTTGAATAAGAGAAAGAGAAGGGGAGAAAAAAGAAAGGGTTTGGGGTGGTGGGACATGAAAACTGAGTCAAAGAGTGAGTGAACATATAAGATGTGCTTCAGTTTTTCTGTGCATAAATGTGATGAGTTTGAGGCGTGGTCTTTGTTCCTGAACCTAGTTATAAAACACAAGAATATTCTTGACTGAAGAATATTGAGGCTGTCAACACTCATTATGAGGATGTTAAAAACATTGGTAATGCTCTAGATAATGGCCCACTACGGAGCCCCTAAAGGGACATGGGAAAAAAAAAAAAAATGAAACGTTTCTAGTGCGCACTAGATAGGATCTAGTGCCCACTAGATATGGTTTGCTGTTGTCAACACATGGCTCATTTGAATATTAAAATTAGCCATGTGTTGACAGGTCACCACACGAAAATGTAACCAATGAAATTACTTAGTTTGACACACATTTTAAACCAATAAGTATTGTTGTATCTTGTAACTAACAAGGTAATGTGTAATATAACAAGGCGGACCGTTTTTGTTATTTTCTCAAAAGGAGGACAAATGAGTGTCTGGCTGGGCAGGGGCATTTAAATGCGGACTGTAACAAAAAAGGTTACAGATTAATTTACATTTATTTTTTAGTTACAGACAAATTAGTTTAATACTCATTTGAATATTAAAATTAGCCATGTGTTGATTCGCCACAAAAGGTGACCCTATCTAGTGCGCACTAGATATCTAACTTTGCTAGCGTACAGGCTTGAATTCCTGTTAATTTTGAATTGTCACAATTGGGATGCAGTATCTTTCCAAAATCCTAAGCCCGTCACCATGGCTGAAAGCTCGGCTTGCCCACTATTTCCTACAAAACCTGTGACACCGGATGTGTGAAAATAGTACAAATAAACTAAAGAACAAGAGTGATGCAATAAAAGTGTATGTTTCTTAGCTAAATGTAAAATGATTCCAATACGTTTTTGATGATTATTGCGATAACATCGTGAATCACAATTATTTAACCTTGACATGTAATTTGCATATCGTCCCATGCATAACTTAAATGATCACAAATGTTTCCAACAATGTTGAAACCCAGACAAATCTGTCATTTCATTCAGGTAAAGGTGCGTTTCCTTGCTCGCTCTAGTTATGGTAACTACCTCTTTTGTATTGTTTGGATGTAAGAGACCCCTACAGGCAGAAAATGACATAGTGTATCTTTAAAAGAATAAGAAGTCACACACTAAAAGAAAACAAAGAGGCGTTGTCTTTTTTCACTGATCACTCCAAATGCTTACAGCTTTCAGTCCGACCAGTTTCTAATGAGAATCATAATCTCTGATTTCAAATGTAGTAATTTTTACAAATAACATACAGACTAAAAAGACACTCACATTTAAATGAACATGTCTTGCTCACAGTAAGACCTGTAGTTGCTGGAAGGTTATTTAGATGACGACGCATCTGCCTTGTGCTGTAGGGTTTGAATTTCAATTCTACATATATTGTATTGCATTCAAAATGTGTGTCATCATGTGCTTTAGAATAAATACAGTGCCACAACATATTTTTCCAGGTTTGGTGTAAAGTAATCTGGGATAAACTGGATTTAATATTGTAGGTGGAGATTACCAAAATGCATCGCCACCCACACTTCTTAGTAGTACTTAAGTAAAGTCTATATTTGTAGCTGATGTAGAGTTCTCATTTTTCTTTCCCTGTCATCACATGTTGTATGTTTTTGTATACATTTAGGTCAAAAGCAGATTCCAATTCAACAAGTAACTTCAAAGACATCACAACCTTTACCAAGATCCTGGACAGTCTGCTGGATGGGTATGACAACAGACTGAGACCTGGTCTGGGAGGTAAGAGTGATTTATACTATTGCACTTTCATAATGCTGGGGGACTCATATCTTGACCTCAAGCTTTAAAACACTACATTTCCCACAATGCAACTTAGTGAGGTCTTTCATTAGACCCTTCTTGCCTCGTAAATACTCACATTTTTCAAACTCTATACCTACAGTTTGTAAGTCAGTTGTTCTTTTATGAATTTGAGTTTTTTTTTATAAATCCGCCCATTATTTTCTAGATTAGGTCATTAATCATTTATTTATAAAATTCAATTCAATTTTATTTGTATAGCGCCAATTCATAACAGAAGTTATCTCAGGACACTTTTCAGATAGAGCAGGTCTAGATCATACTCCTTATAACATTATTTACAGAGACCCAACAGTTCCCACCATGAGCAAGCACTTGGTGACGGCGTCAAGGAAAAACTTCCTTTTAAGAGGCAGAAACCTCGGACAGACCCTTCGGCTCTAGGTGGGTGGTCGTCAAGATATTTAATTTACATTAATGTAAAACAAGAAAAGTAGCAAATGCTGGGACCAAAAAATGCTTAAAAAATGGCTAAAAGATGTTGTTAGTTACAATCTGAAGCTTCACCACTAGATGCCACTGAATCCCACACACTGGTCCTTTAATGTGAAATATCTGCGTAGGAAATGTAGTAACATTGAAAGAAAAAGAAAATATAAGGGAAGGGAAGGACTGGAATTAATTTGCAAATCACAAACACAGCAGTGTTTATGCTGTAAAGAAAACTGTTTAGTTAGATTAGTCCTGTAGAAATTCACAGGTAAGATGAAGGAAGTGTCGTTGCAAATGTCTGTAAAAACTGAGCAGATTAGAGAACTGGATGGTTTTTTACTCAAATATGATCAAATATTGACAGCAGGAATTACAGCTAAATGTGTGTCTGTAATATAAAGCTGGAATTAAAAAATGTATATTAAGGTCTGGTGTTCTTTGCAGTTAAAGGGCTATGGAAACCATTTGAGAATTAACAATAGGCTGTATGGTTGATAGTACAATTACATGACCCATAAGATACACCCTTCTCTTTAGACAAATACACCAGTTCTGGGATGTCATTGGTCGTCAAACTGAAAATCATGTTGGCTGCTCTGGAAATGTTATCATATCTATCTGAAGCTATTCAGCAAAATCAGTTTTTTGAATCAAATGAGGGTGACAATAGCTGCATATAGTCATGCTTCATTTGATATCTATAACACCCTATGTTTTGGGTATTTGAGAGATGACAATTTACAGCTCCATCTAGATGCTGCATATAGTTCACTGATGGTTTGGCACAATGAATTACAAGAAAGCTTGTTTTGTATTGTATTGAGTTAGAGCCAGTGTAGATCAGTGAAAACTGAATTAATGCAGATGAATGGCATTCTTTACATTTACATTAAATATCTTTCAAGCAAGCATTCACACCCTGTTCTCACTCACAACTCATCAAATACTGCCGCTTTTTCAGTGACTCTACGCTTCAAATAATGACGTGGAAGGTATCCCTCCAGCATGTCTGGTCTCACCCATGTAGCTAAATGGTTTGATGTACTTTTGAAGTCAGATGATGTGGTATAAAGAACGAGAAAGTCCAGGAGACTGTGCAAAAAACCAAAAGTAAACACTGACTTCTAAACAGTGCAGTGGTCCTGAACGAAAAGCTAAGAGACCGTATTAATCTCTCTCAATTTGTATGACACGCATTTTGCTTTGGAAATCAAAGATAAACCTCGAATGTAAACTTATTTCTAGGTGAAATAAATAGTTATATGACCTTATTCCAGTGCATATATGGTCGTCAAGCCATTGCTGCTGCAGAAGGACAGCAGGGAACAGCAGTCACATTAATTATGATAAACAGAAATGATAAACATCCGGCCTGAGGCATATGTGAATTAAGTGGCTGCTTTGGGCCCTTTGTCCACCAGGGGGGCTGCTAAACAAGCATTTGTGAATTACATTACATTACATTCAATGAGAGGTCTTTTAATATGATATAAAGATGAGGCTCACAGGACATTTCTAAAATTCATACTGTACATTATGATTTTAACAGGATATGAAAACAGTCTCAGTTTAATACTGATGCCTCTATATGATCTACATTAACAAAGACAATCAGAAGATAAAATGACTTACTAAAAAATCAACTTCAGTTTGAACCTATAGAAAGGGTCAAGTCCAAAAAGCGGTAGTGGAGCCCTGTTATAGTGTCCCTGTTATAGTGTTATCATCATGCATACAGTACAAAATATACACATGACTATGTTGCTGTAGTTTTGTAGTGGTGAATGTAAAAAAGAATTCAATGACGTAATTTTAATGCACCCTCAACATATATCTTAAAAATAGAGTATTTCAATAAAACACTGCCCTCAGAAGAAAGAAACTCTTATTTTAAATGCCATGCTGTTAGTTGTTTTGGAAAAGGAGATAGTCCCAAGTGGTTGTTCTGACATTATGGGGGGAACTGCAATTTACATTATCAGAGGATGGCCATTATGTTGTTCATCTCATCTCATCTCATCTTCATCCACTTATCCGGGATCGGGTTGCGGGGGTAGCAAGTCCAGCAGAGGACCCCCAAACTTCCAATTATGTTGTTGCTGAGTCTTATCTTAGCCTATGCTGGCGTTATGAGGTGGTACTCAATGTAGTTTTGATTGTCTCTGGTATCAGATGTGAGTGTCATCTTTGATCTTTCTCCAGTCATCCACTGACGGTAGATGACCTCTGACCTCTTCCCAGTGGATGCTTTGAGTGGTTCTGGTCCGGTGTTCACAGACAGCTGATGTTTTTACACTGACGTAGTGTTCCGTACAGCTATCATGATGACGATGACATAATGTCATACACCAGTGCAATCTTCCTCTCAGAGAGGGCCCGGTCTTTAGGGTGTACCAGCTCTTAAGGTGTTGAATGCTTTATGGTAAGTGACTTGAAGACTCTGGTTACATGTTGTAACAGTTCACCTTTGTCAATTCCAAGACCAGGACTAGTCAAGACCAAGTCAATACTGAGTCCAAAGAAGTTCAATTCCAAGTCAAGTCCCAGTCCAAGTCAAGACCGATTCCAATGGAAAGAGACACAGTTACTTCAGAAAAAAAATGTAAATTGCTGGACTCAAGTTGAGACCAACTGGAATATTATAAGACCAATGGTCCAAGACAATGGAAAAAAATTCTCAAGTGCAAGACTACACTGAATAGATCATATTGCGATATTTGTTCTGGGATATTGTACAAGTTCTCACACTGTGAGAATTTTGCACTTAATCCTCCAACTGCTAAATAGCAGTGTCATAATCATAAACTGAGGGATATGATGCTGGATGTTACAGGTGCATGGATAAATACAAATGCAGATGTTCTTACAGTATCGCAGTATATTGAATCGTAGCCCATGTATCGTGATACGTATTGTATCGCTAGATTCTTGCCAATACACAGTTTGTACACTGTGTAAGTCAGGGTGGAATTCTCACCATCCATTCCTTGTACCCACTGGCCCACAAGGCCCCCCTTGGCCTGCTGCACCCCCCCTTACTGACAGACGCTGTGCTGTATGTAGGACGATCCTCCCCACTTTGTGTTATAAGTGGTTGTTAGAGCTCAAATTGGATATTGATCTGTGTGAGGGTGTTTCCTGCACAATGTGGTCTTTAAGCTCCTGTTAGTGTTCACATGAACACAGGTTGTCTAAAAACAGCATCGTACCATTTTCTTCATTGTCAGGCACTGCTGGTTGTTTTTGTGCAATGAGCCAGCACACATTTACTGAGTGCACCTCTAGATTTAACATAACACCGGCACATTTACTATGGATGGCAGATATTGGTGACTGGGATGCTTCTTTAGTGAAGCTGGTTGGGCTTGGCTAGTCTCCTGTGGTTGGACTTGACATCAAAGCTTGGTGCCTTGGCAACGAGCAAAAAACCAACAAGAACAACAACAAAAAAAACATGGATGAAGGGGAGCTGTTGGCCGCACAATAGAGGTCACCAGAGAAAATTGCATTTTATGCATAGTGCATGGGAGACAGTTGTAGCCTTACTGTTCCCAGTGCTTGACAGGCAGGTTTATTTTTACATTTGTCTGGAGATCCCATCAGTGTTTCACTGCTTTTATAACAGCAGTTGGACAAAGACCACTATCAGAGAAGACTTCTATTAATACACCCTGAACAAAGCAATAAAGTGTAACCACTGTGGTTGAATTGGTGCTGAGAGACAAAGCTGAACCTAAAGAAGACATCAGAGTGCAAAGAGTCATGAGGTTACTATGTTTTGTGTAGCTGATGTTAATGCATTTTGTGTGTGTTGAAATGGTCTAGGATTATCAATAGGGAAATAGTTTCAGTAATTGTGTCAGCTCTGTAATGCAGCTTCATAGGATGCGCATTACAATTCATTTATGATTAGTCAAAACACAATTTAAGATGTCTCTACGTGCATTTTTAATGATAAAATGTAACTTTTTGTGTAATTTATGCAGTTATGGTAACACTTTATAATGAATCAGATACTTAACTATTAACACTAATATGTATGACTCGTGATGATTTCATGCATGAATTAATGTGTTTATGATATGGGACCAAATTAGCAGGATTCCAGTGACATAAAAGTTTATTTCAGGACGATGTATTTACTCAGCCTCAAATGCAAGATTCTGTAAGTTATGAAAACGATATATTAGGTGAGTTTTTGAAAACAATCCCTAAATCAGGCTTTGGAAGAATTGTGACCAGTAGTAAATATGACATGTTTGGTATTTCTGTGCTGACATTTCTAGTTACTTATCAGTCGACAGTATGCTGAACTTAATAAATCTGTGATAAGGTAAAATAATATTGGCTCAGTCTATGTATCTGTTGGGTTGTGATGACCATGAGCCAATTTATTGCTATGCATCATCATACAGATTGAAGATGCACACTTCATTCCTTACCAGCAGTCAGTAGATCCATGTTCTTGCTGGAATAGTCTTGTAAAC